TCATGTGTGATGATTATAAGAAGAAGCTGAAACAGTCTCTGGTGCTGGTGCTGGAGACGGCGTTTGCTGAAGATCATCTGGACATTAAAGAAATGAGACAGACACAAAAGGATGAGCAAGAGAAGAAAACCACACTTGAATTGCTAGAAATGTAGAAAACCTTCAAGGGTTTGTGACCATTGTTAATACTGTATATAATTATCACAGTTAACAGTTATTCAGCATAATTTCTCTGTCTAATACATATCTCGTAAATGATAGTTTTATAAATCCATGTTTTGTGCTTGGTTTAGTTTTGTGTTCTTGTTTTCAGTGTCTGTATATTCAGTTAGGTCTGATTTTATTGTTTAGTTCGGTGTGTATTTAAGTCTCAGTCTGTCTTCATTGATGTTTGTGTTGTTGACCTGTTCATCTATTTTATTAGATTAAAAGCATTGCCCTGTACATAATTTATTTCTACTCTCTTTAATCAGTATTAACACTTTATTTATTTATTTATCATCATCTCATCTGAAAGATATTGCTCCCTGACAGTATTCATGGGGACCAAAAACATCACTTCTGCAACGCTCGTCGCCCATTTACCTTAAATACTCAACTCGGAACAAACAGCCATAAATTCAAGACAATAAAAGAGTCACCGAGACCCTTGCCTGGTGAATTTGAGGAGTTAACCATCTCTAAGGGGGAGCATCTGGCAAAGATTTTATCAAAGCCAAAAACCAATTCAACATATACTAGTGAAATATTACAGTGAAATTAAGACCACTTTACCAATCACACAAATACATAAAAAATGATACCAAACAAGAATATAAGGCTACAAGAAACACAATATTAACACAAAATTTAAATTTATCCATCCAAAATTTATCTAGCCATATCGGAAGAACCAAGTATATCTGCAGACTCTGTTGATTCTCTCCTAGATTTGTTTAACTCTAAAGTTAAGAATGTCATAGAATACATTGCTCCTGTTAAAGTCAAGAAGATGACTGGCATTTTGGACAAGGTCACCAAGAGTACAAACAATGAAAGATTGAGAAAGACAAAACTAGTAGTTTATTATAATATCTATAAAGACAGTCTATAATGACACTCAGATCTACTTAGCCTCTCTGCCTAATGACTACAGCCCCATTGACACCCTCTGCCAATGCATTGATGATATTTACAATTGGATGTGCCAAAACTTTCTTTAGTTAAACAAAGAGAAAACTGAAGTGATTGAATTTGGGAACAGAGATGACGTTCTCAAGGTGAATGTGTACCTTAGCACTAAGGGTCAAACAACAAAAAATATGGTCAAGAATCTTGGTGTGACTCTGGAGTCAGATCTTAGTTTCAATAATCATGTCAAAGCAGTCAGTAAATCAGCCTACTTTCATCTCTAAGACATTGCAAGAATCAGATGCTTTGTTTCCAGTGAAGACTTAGAAAAACTTGTTCATGCTTTTATCAGCACCAGGGTGGATTACTGTAACAGCCTTCTCACGGGCCTTCCCAAAAAGACAGTCAGACAGTTATAGCTCATTAAGAATTCAGGTCTTTACACTGGCTCCCAGTTACATTCAGAATATATTTTAAAGTATTACTACTGGTTTATAAATCACTAAAGGGCCTAGGACTTCAATACATAACAGACATGCTCTCTGAATACAAACCTAACAGATCACTCAGTTCAGTCAAAGCAGGGTGAATCAGCCTTCAGCTACTACGCCCCTCACTGCTGGAATCAGCTTCCAGAAATGATCAGATGTGCTCCACCATTAGGCACATTCAAATCGAGACTGAAAACACATCTGTGTAGCTGTGGCTTTACTGAATGAGCACTGTGCTACGTCTGACAGATCGCACTATTGTCTTTCTTTATTTTTTCATTCTTTTATAACTTGTTTTAACACATTTTAATCTGTTTTATTGTTTGTTTTTTATGCTCTTAAACTTGTCTTTTTTATTCTTGTTTATGTAAAGCACTTTAATTTGCCACTGTGTATGAAATGTGCAATATAAATAAACTTGCCTTACCTTGAAAAGAGAATGAGGTTGAGGTGAAAGGTGAAGGGTCAGCTTTCTCGCATTGCCCCCTAGTGAGGTGTAGCTCTGTGTTTCCAGCCTATTGTCAAATGTCTCAGGTTGATTTGAACAGAACAGCTGAACAGCCGGTTTCCTGATCTTCTCAGATGAGAAAGTGTATTGTTTTATTGCATTTCATGAAATTCCATAACAGTTCTCAGGATCTGATATTCTGGAGAGATTAAGCCATCATTACAACACCATATATAAACGATAGGCGCAAGCTGCGATGATGGCCTTTTCCCTCCTCCTAAGCTTCAAAATTCCTTTCCATATTCCTGGACCAGGCCGTATCTTGAGCAGCTGCTGTGGTGGTCATGGAGGAGTGGAGAGCATGAAACTGATTCCAGTGACAGACAAGTCCTTGCATTGATCCTGAAAAGCCAGCCTGTACACCAGCCGGTGTACACCTGTAGCTTCTCCACGATGGACGTCCAGCGTTCTGCAGCCTCCTAGACTGCAGCTCTGCGCAAAAAGTTTGGCCAGAGGAGAGATGATCGTGCCCTACTGAGTCTGGTTTCTCTCAAGGTTTTTTCCACTTTCGTCTATTGGTAAAGTTTGTTCCTCACCTCTGTCGCTCGCATAGTTTGGGACATGTGGAGCTGCGCATAGATGGATTTGCTCTTCAGTTTGTAGATTTTAGCAGTGAAAGTTAAACCACACTGAACTGAACTAAACTTCAACTCTGAAAACTGGACTGACACGGTTTCAATTTACTATAATCTTCTATGTGAAGCTGCTTTAACACAATCCACATTGTAAGGCGCTATAAAAAAAAGATTAATTGAATTGAGATATGCATGTTTGCATGACAGTGAAAATCCCACAAGTAGCAGCATACTCCGTCATTTTAGGTCATTTAAATAAGAGTAAGAAAACAGTATTGTTTAAAAGTTAAAGAGCTATTTTATTTGTTTTACTGCGATTATAACAAAAACAATGTGGTTTTATTCAGTAATAAAGAAAGTCAAGCTGTGCGGTTTATGCTGTCTCCATGATAGGTTAGCATTAGACAAGTATCGCAAGCATGATCACAGACCTGGATAGCATGTTAAAGCACATTATGCTCAATTACATCAGGACACATTTATGTAATGAAAAGTAGTTCAGTTCAGATTGACAGCATGGTACAGTTCGGTCACAAAAATGGTGGCTGCACCACAGTGTGATGTCACATTGAACTTTGGATAGCATCACTGTCACTATATTGGGGCATAAGGACCCACATAAATGGCAGGATGAGCACCACTTGCTGCCTCACTAACAACTTTTTCAGCAGTAATTTTGTTTTCCCATGTGGTTTTCCATACAGGTACTAACCAGATGCAGCCTTTAGTCTGCGACCATGTTAGAGCTTGTCTTTAGTATATAATCAAATTAGTGCATAACATAGAAACACTCCAATTACCTAAGTAACCCTCATTCCCCGAGGGGGGGAACAGAAATGCTATATGGAAACTTCCGCTATGGGGGATTTTGTCAAAATCCAATCATCTGAAAGAGTGGACAATCGGGCAAATGAAATGCTAATGAGTTGGCAGCATCAGCATGCACAGCTTGCGCTACTTACTATTAATCTTGTATATAAGTGCTGCACGTGCCAAGCTGAGGCATAATTTTTTAGCTGAAGAGCCTTTCACGGCTAACAGCCAAGGGGCAATCATTGTGGGAGGGGAACATAGCATGTCCGCTCCCCCCTTGGGGAATGAGTGTTACTTCATTAACCGGAGCGTTCCCCTTCGAGAGGGAAACTTCAATGCTATGTGGAAACTTCCACTGTGGGGGAATCTATTGAACACACCACAAAACCTTACTTTGCCCCTGATGAGAGGTTATGCCAAGCCAAGAGCGGGAGCGCACCTGCATCAACAGAGGCGCAGCCTTATAAACATGCTCCCTGACTTATCCCACTTGTAAAGAAGTTTTACAGATTTAGATATATTTTTTGGGAATCACAAAATGCATCTAGTTAAACTCTAAAATTTTAAATAAGACAGTATGTTGGGAAAGTGTGCAGTCTAGATATGGAGGATGCTGCGGATGCCACCTCCTGCTCAAGTGGGAAGACCTGGTGGCGAGAAGACATATGGACTGGCCCTGAGTAGGGGGAAGTACTCATATGAAAAAAAGATGGTTAGCGGGGAGGGAAGACACGCAAGCTGGAAGGTATAGCATTCCAGACTGGCAGTGTTCGGGCTACTACATCCGGGAAAGGGAAAAAGTGCTCTTTCATTGAAATTTTGGTGGCATTGAAAAATGTCTTTGATGTTTCAGATATAGAGCCCGGTACTCCGCTGGGGAAAGAGCAAGTTTCCTCTTCTCCGGATGGCAAGTCTCAGGGATGCTTCGCGGTCCATTTACCGGACTTAACAGCACCCTGGGGCAAGGGGGCTGCTTTTCTGCATAGAGCTCGGTGCTGCCGCTTGGCCGGAGGTGCAGACAGGGTGGCGGAGCAGCTCTCGCAGATGGGCACCCTCGGCGAGGAGCAGTGGATGTGGATGGTTCGGCGGGGGGAGCAGTCTTATGTTCCTGCCAATAGATGACTTCACCCATAGTGTCCAACTGCTCCTTCACCGCCGTAAATTGCTGGGTGAACGCCTGTTGGCAGAGGGGCAAGCAGATTGGGCAGAAAAACTGCTGGAGAAACCCTCATCGACCCTCTCAGAAGCTTTGTGACAGGATTTGAAGCCAAAAGGATGCCTTAGTTTGGCACATGCTGCGCTTATATACAAGATTAATTGTAAGTAGCGCCAGCTGTGCATGCTGACATTGCCAACTCATTGGCCTGATTATATATTCTTTCAGATGATTGGATCTGACGAAATCCCACATAGTGGAAGTTTCCACATAGCATTGAAGTTCCCCTCCCGAAGGGGAACTTGCTTTTGTATTTCAATGCAGATGTCATAATAATTTCTCAGTAATTTCCTCCACCGTCAGTACACACTTGATTCTTTCTTAAAACTCCTGAATACTTTATTTAAAGTTTTTTGCTTCATGTTTGAACAAAAGAAAAGTCTAGTGTGGCAGGAAATGTTTTGCGGTGGGTTTGATCTCCACTCATATCAGATATTTGCTGATGACCATATTTAGTCAATAGGGATGTACCAGGGTTTGCTCTGGTATAAAACCAACTATCGGTCAGCACAAACAAGAAGACGGAACAAGATCAAGACTCGACTCCTTCCACTGCATCTCAAAAACATGGGTGAGAAATTAATATCTATTATGCATATTATATGTTTATGAAAACCTTTCAGAACATAAATACAAGCTTGTTTATAACACAGACAATGCACAGAAATAATATTAAATCCATATAATTAAGCACAAGATACACATTTACTTTCTCTAACAAATGACCCTTCATACAAAGATGTCCTTCTAATGAATTCACACACTGCAAATGCAAAGTTATTCAATATAAAAGACTAATTATTGGTTTTATTCTAATGAGGTTTTATTAAAATGTTTGAGAGGAGCATGATCAGATATACTCTAATAGCTAATAGTTCAGAATTTAGCAGCACAATGACACACTGACAGTCCTTTCTGTGCTTCTTTGTTTAGAAAACAGCAGTTTTGGGCTTAAAAATGTGACTGGAAACTCAACAGACAAGAATACTGTGGAGGATGAGGGATTTAAGATTTTTCTTGCCTGCATTTTATCTGTAACCTTTGTAGTGGGTCTCATTGGAAATGGTCTAGTCATATTTCTGACCGGCTGCAGAATGAAAATGACTGTCAACTCCACTTGGTTTTTGAATTTGGCGATTGCAGACTTCATCTTCATTTTAATTTCAATCACAAATTTTTCCTTAAAGTGGAGCAAGCAGCACAGTGACTTCACAGAGTACTTTTTTATCATCACAACATCTCTAAATCTGTTTATTAGTGTTTGGTCTCTTGTAGTTATCAGTCTGGATCGATGTCTGTGCACATGGATGCCTGTTTGGGCTCAAAATAACAGAACTCTGCGTAAAGCCAGAATCATCTGCATCATCATCTGGGTTTCATCCATCGGCTACATTTTACCGTACTTCAAAGTTTTTAACATTACAGATACAATTATTGTCACATATGAATTTATAGTGGTCTTTTTCATCACCTTCCTGATCATTACATCTTCATACATCGCTATTGGAGTAAAAATCAATCGCCTCAAAATGGGGAAGCAGCTCAGGTCATACAGACTCATTATAACTGTAATCCTGACCTTCTTCATCTGTTCATTTCCACACCATGTTTGCTGGATTTTGAGAATAAGGGCAAACAATAATAATTGGACTCTCACTAAACAATTTTGGATGCTATTTGATTTTACTTTCTACCTGATTAATCTTAACAGCAGTTTGAATCCATTTCTCTATGTGTTCATGAGTAAGGATTATAAGAAGAAGCTGAAACAGTCTCTGGTGCTGGTGCTAGAGACGGCATTTACTGAAGGTCATTTGGACGTTAAAGAAATGAGACAGACACACCACACTTGAATTGCTAGAAATGTAGAAAACTATCTGGGGGGGTCTGTCTTCATTGAGGTTTGTGTCCTTCATCTAACTTTATTCAATTAAAAGCACTGATTTTCTGTCATTGTGTGTCTCTGTATGAGTGCTGTCGTGATCACGCTTGGGCTGTGCACGCTCCTGTGTAATGAGGGCGCGCGAGGTCTGGATTTGCACTCTTGTCCTGGTGTCTGTGTTTGTTTTGTCTGCAGCATGATCAGTAACAATTTCTTTTATGAACAAAAGTACCACATAAGTACAGTGAAATAACAGTGTACTTTGCTGTACAAATAATATAAGTATAAAGATGTGTAGGTATAAGGGAACAAACTGTAATGCTTCGTTTTACTCTGCGTTGTGTTTAGGTGAACAGAACCAGTCATATGGGAGTAAACTGTCTTTTATTCTGCATGAATAAAATAAACAAATGACATCAAGCTAAGTCTGTGGCCTTCCTTAAGACTTCACCAACCTCTCCTCAATCGCGTTTGCCGCAAACTGCCATAAATCTAATCAAAGTGCGTTTAACATACACCAAAAAAAAAAAGAAACATTACACATAAATTCAAAAACAGAAGCACGAGTAAGCACATACCTGCATGAATGAAATACCAAAAATATACAAATGACATCAAGCAGAGTTTGTGGCCGTCCTGTGGACTTTACCAACCTATCAGTGAAAGGGATCATTTTCACCACAAAGCTTCATACTTATGCTTATAAACTTCACCCAAAATACATGCTTCATAAAATTTACACAACCTCTTATACATGTTTAAATGCATTTCAGATAGAAATTACATGCATAATTGTGATAAACAACACTTGATACGTTTTAACCGGAGCTTTAGTACAACTCACCACTCCTTGATCGCGTTTGCCGCGAACTGAGCGAGAGCAGGCGGAACTGGAAAACGACACTTAAAGGGGCCACCTACAGGGCTGCCAACTTTTGGCTTTAGCTTGGAGTGAGAATTTATGCCCACAATTCTCTACACCAAACCATGCCCCATTTATTTATAAATCTATAAAACTATATATTATTTTAATAAATACTTTTTATAAAATATTGTTTTTATCATTATTATTATTATTATTATATTTTATTCTAAATAAATAAAATAAATAAATTCAAAATGTAACTGGAAAACAATGTAAAGACTGAAGTGATATGTTAAGATTATTTAAGAATTTCTTTTGCATAAATATATCAATTTTATTAGAATGAAATTCTATAGACAATTGTATAGAACACAAAAATATGTTTTATAGCATTATCTGTTGTGTGTTGTTTTAGACCAGACTCATGGCTGAGAATTAGGTTTATTAAGTCTAAACTCCAAATTGGCCGAAGTGTATGTGTGTGAATGAGAGTGTATGGATGTTTCCCAGTGATGGGTTGCGGCTGGAAGGGCATCCGCTGCGTAAAACATATGCCAGATAAGTTGGCGGTTCTTTCCGCTCTGGCGAGCCAGAGATTATTAAAGGTACTAGGCTGAAAAGAAAATAAATTAATAAAAGAAGTCCAAACTCCCTGCTCTCATCCCTCCTTTCTGCTTCATACAAAAAAAAAATCTATCAGGAGCCATTACTCAAAATAAGATCATGATATCATAACTTTACACTTACGTAACTTTACCCCTGCCATAAAATGCACCCCCTCTGAAATATGCATATATTAACTGTAATTGATACAATCTTTTTAATAACACAGTGAACCCTTACCTTACAGAAGACTGAGAGTTCTAATTAAAGTCTATGACAGGGGTGCATTTTACAGGAGGGGTGAGTTTTTCAGCACAACACAACACATAAGTGTGGTGCGAGCAGTGCATATTTTTTTGACATGAATGTTTACAATTGGGATTTATACCAGGAGCGGGAATGCGAGCAGCGCGTCAGTACAGCGAAATAACGGTGTATTTTTCTGTACATATAGTATAAGTATAAAGAGCGTGTAGGTATAAGGGAACAAACTGTAATTCTTGGGTAATAATAGGGATTTTAAAACACTTCATCTTAATTAAACACTGTCTCGTCTATCATTGCCTTTACTCAAACAACAAAATAACACAATATTTCCTTCCCCCTTTTTTCTGGCATCTCTTGCTTGGCTTCCTCTTTTTTCTGCTCATCTTCTTTAATTCCACGGATGGTGAATAGCTGATAGAATCCATTGGGTCATGCTGCTCTGCATTTTATATGAAAAATATAAATAGACAAAGACTTTTAGCCAGCTACATGTTCCTTTTACTGTTTATTATGTGTGTGTGTGTGTGTGTGTGTGTGTGTGTGTGTGTGTGTGTGTGTGTGTGTGTGTGTGTGTGTGTGTGTGTGTGTGTGCTGGTTGTCCATCATGTTCACACACTAAACATTTACAGAGATACTATACATTACCATCAAACAAAACTAGTATCATCAGATCATATGATAATGTATAGTGATAACAATTAAAGTGCAGAGGGAAAAGGTTTCCATATCCGGGACCAGGCCATATCCTGAGCTGCTGCTGCGCTGATGGTCGTGGGGAGTGGAGAACATGAGTCAGATTCCAGCGACGCTCCAGGGACAGACAGGTCTTCGCTGAGGCCAGCTTCCAGCCTCCACCACGAAGACTGAAGCTCTGCACAAGACTTTTGGCCAGCGGAGAAATTAAAATGGTCGTGCCCAACTGAGTCTGGTTCTCTCAGGGGTTTTTTCTTCACTCCTATCAGGTGAAGTTTTTTTCCTCACCGCTGTCGCCACTGGCTCGCATGGTTCAGGATTGGTAGAGCTATACATCGATGAATTTGCTCTTCAGTGTTTGAACTCTCAGTAATGATTAAATCACACTGAACTGAGCTAAAGTGAACTGAACTAAACTTAAACACTAAAACCTGAATTACACTGTTCCAGTTACTATGACCATTTATGTGAAGCTGCTTTGACACAATCTACATTGTAAAAGCGCTATACAAATAAAGGAGAATTGAATTGAATTGAAATATACAGTAGGATACTGTGCAAAATTCTTAGGCTACTAGTAATTCCAGCAAAAAAAAAAAAAAGAAAAAAAGAGGTTTAAAGTCGTATAAAGTATTATAAAGTATTATATTTTATGTAGCATGTCAGTCTGAAATATCAATTTACATTTGCAAACATTATTTTTGTCATTAGCTGTAATTAATGTATAAAGGGAGATTATTGCATGCACGCCTGATCTGATCCAGTCTGTCTGGAATGACATAAAGGCTGCATTTACACTGCAGATCTTGATGGTCAATTCTGATTTTGTGACTGTATCCAATTTTTTTGATGACCTGCTTACATCATCAATTAAAAGTGACTCATATCCGAGCATTTACATTTACACAGCACACGGCAACGGCGCAATGACCAAAAAAAAAAGAGCAGACGCTGACTAAGGGTGCTTTCACACCTACACTTTTGTTTCGGAACGTATCTCGTTTGCCCAGTTAGCGCGGTTCGATTGGCTTATGTGAACAGGGTAATCGCGCTCTGTTCCGCGCCAAAGTAATCGCTCCGAGATCGCTTGAATGGGGTGGTCTCGGCTCGATTGAAACTAACCCTAAAGCGGTTCGATTGTAGAGAGAAAGCGATCCGATCCGAGCGCGGTTGTATCACTGTGTTTTATGGATATGTAATAGGCATACGGCTATATGAAGAGAGAATTATGAGTAGGGTGGGAAGTTTCGCGAGTCTCCGGATGCCCGCAAATGAGTGATGATCTCCCGGTAATCTCGCGTCTCCCTCCAGGTCCTCAAATAGGCATCGTCGCGCACCCTTCTCACCCCTCCCCACCGCGTCTCTCCTCAGACACGTCGCGCGCACACCCTGTCAATCACCACCAAATCACCACCTCTCCTGACAGCTTAGCGGGACGCTGCAAAATAAACCCTGACACTCTGACCAATGTGAGGAGAGTTTACTCGCACGTGACTTGTTTTAGTTCTTTTGGTCCGATTAGAAACTTTGCAGTGTGAAAGCGAACCGCTCCAAGAGCAAAGAGCAACAATGTAACAATTGTAATCTCTGTTTCGGAACAACTGAATCGATTCACAGGTGTGAAAGCACCCTAACAGCTGATAATTAGAGTGCTCTTTTCTCTATTCCTGTATGTAATCTGTTTGTAGCTTTTGAAAGGCTGTTATACTACAGTTCATGACAGAAAGGTTCTCATTTGTCCATCTTCTTTTGATATATAGGCTTTTTTAAACCTTTAGGCATCTTGATGTAATGTCCATGGCGTGATTTATGCATGCGATGTACCTATGCACCAGTTTTATAATTGTCTATATTGGTTACATGGCGGACATTGCGCCATTCCTCCATTTACTAACAACGATTTTCTCACATGTGTTTCATGGTGATGAGACAAAGCAATTCCAAATGTCCCAAAAGTCAAAACCTTGTGGTACTGCAGTTTGATTCGGATCTTTAGAGGCTCCTTGATTCACAACTCGTTTGAATCAACGAATCAGTATGCATTTACTTGAAGTGATGAAATACAGCGAGACAGATTCAAATGCATGCATAGCTGTCTGCTGTTCTCACGATTCTTTGACATCACACTAAGCGGTCTATTAAAGACGATTCAACTCCACTGCCAGAATTTCCTGTCTACAGCAGGACAAGGGCGGCAGCGCAAAGTAAATAAAACAAGCATTTTTATAACATTATATTCATAGAAGTGTTTGTTTTTTGTTTCTATCTGATGTTTATTCCTATTTTTTAACCATTTTCAAAACACTGTTATGACGTGTTTAACGGTCATCGGCATCTGAAATCATTGGGTTTTTAATATTTAATCTTTTATAAATAACATTTATTGGTATTTACCCATGTATTACATAATGTTTCCATATAATTACATATGCGAAGGGTTTCAAGCAGTGTCTATGGGCAGGGCAGTAAATTAGATGTTATTTTTCTCTGTGGCTATTTTTGCCGTTATCAGTTACACACTTTTTTTTCTAAATGTCGAGAAAACACCATCATGAAGTTTTTATTTTATTTAAGCAAAGAAGAAAAAAATAAGAGAAAATATGTGTTGTACTTTCCCATTTACTGCGCTTACTGCTGAGAAA